CCGGCCCGCGGGCCGCTCCGCCGCCAGCCACCCCCGCGGACCCCGGCGGCCCGCGCTCGGCCCGGGAGCGCGTGAGCCTCAGCCAGAGCCGGAGGCGGGAGCAGCGAGCAGGAGCCCCGGGCGCCCGAACGCAGGGTAAGCGCCGCCGCCGGGCCCGGGGACGGCCGGGTGGGAGGACCCTGGGCATGAGGCCCCCCCGGCGGGAGAGCTCTGGGCGGGGAGGGTCTGCCTGATGTCCGTTGGTCTCACGGTCTGTCCGCGGGGCGGCGGGCATCGCTGAGGGCCATGCACCGCCCCCCCAACTTGGGGACCTTCGGGGTAACTTCCCAGGGGCCGCTTCTTCCTTCGTCCCGCCTCCCTGCCCCCCCCCCCCCCCGCGCCTCCCGGCGCCAGCCGCTTGCTGGGAGCGGTGATGGCCAGTCTAGGGGTACTGGGCCCACCCCTGCCCAGCGTAATCCGTGGGGACGGCTGGTTCCCGGGCCGTAGCTCGGACGCGCCCTCGGGCTTGGGTAGGGCCGGGGGTTCCGCTTGGGACCGGCAGGCTGGGGCGCGCCGGGCCGGGCGGGAGTATCGAAGCGCCGAGAGGCAGGAACCGCTCGCTCGGTTGGGGGGCGGGCGGGGGGGGGGCGTGCCGGAGATGCGGAGGCTCCGCGCTGAGAGCCCGGCCCTGGGCGGCAGCGGGGCCGGGTGTCGCGGACAGTTGGGTGGCAGCGCGGGCGGGGCTGAGGCCCGCGCGAGCCGGGCGGGTGCAGCGGGAGCCCGGGGAATCCTTTCAAGTTCTGGGTTCTCTTTGTGGCGCAATAGAGCCCTGGGGCCACGAGGCTTCATTGGCCCGGGACCGTGACGTCACGCCGGGGCCCCGCCCGCAGACCCTGCGGAGGGAGTCTTCTGGGCCGGCGGGGACCCGGGCGGGTCACACCTGCGACGTGCTGTGGGGGGGAGGGGAGGAAGGAGGGGTTCCAGGATCTGAGGGAGGCAGGAAGCCCCAACCTGAAATGCTGGGGGGGGACGCTCTGAGTGTGTCTCGGAAGAAACTTCCCAGCAGGGGGCGGCGACACCTGGGTGCGGACCACACTAGCTGGAGCCCAGCCTGGGGTCTGGCCCTCAGTGTCCGCTGCTCCCTGTGAAGAATGAACAGCAGGCTTGTGATCAGTGGGTCTTTGGTCATCAGCCTGGAGGAAGGGGTCTCCCAGTTCGTACACTGTTAAGCCCCCTCTCACTGTGAATTTGGAGACCTTGGAAATGCACTCCCCACCTTCACCCCAGTGACATTTCTCCCCTGTCCCCAGGACCACCACTGTCAGGAATCCTGGGCTGCAAACCCAGCCCTCATACTTCCTCCCTGTGTTGCTCTGGCTTCTGAGCCTCAGTGTTCCCATCTGCAGTGTGGGAAGAGTAGGATCCATCCTGCAGGGACAGAGGGTTGAAAGGCAGCCTCTTTTCAAGGACCAAAAATGCCTGTTTCTGCTAGGGTTCAGGTTTGGGTTTGGGCTTGGGTTTGAGAGGCCAGGATTTAGCTGCCAGCCAAGGCGGGGCGGGGCGGGGGGCGGGGGGGGGGGTGGGTCCTGATTCACGCACATGATAGCTTGGGGCTAATGTTTTAACCCCTTTGTTTGACTACCTTTAAAATGGGGATGCTGTTGGTATTTATTACGCAAAATCTCTGGGGGTGCTAACCAGGAGTGTGCCTGTTCACGGGAAGATGCTTCCTCCCTCTCCAGGCAAGGCACGTTCTGCCCACGGAACTAGAGCCTTTCCCTGCAGTGAGAGACGGTTAGGCCAGACAAGGGGAAGGCCTGGCACCGTGAAAGGTTGTGCCAACCTGTGGCACCTTCCCCACCACCCTGCCCAGTGATCCACAGGGCCCAGGGTTACAGGGGTCGGACAGAGCCTGTGGGCATCTGAGGGAAGGCCTCCCAATATGACAGCCAGGGAGACCCAATGTGGGTGGAAATAGATGCTGGCCCACCAGGTGCATGCTGAATCCAGCTTCCTACTTGACAATGTAAAGATCACTGGTTGTCTGTGGTCTCTGGCCCCCCAGCGGCGCCCACACCCTGCCTGCTCTAGACCCCTCGGTACACCCTGTGCCCTCCTCACCCCAAAGCCGGGCTGTCTCAGGTTCCGGTTGGGGTGACTGTGTCTGCCCACACAGGTCTGAGTTGTACCCACACCTCCAAGCTCAGGGTCTTGGCCCTTAAGGGACAGCCAAGCTCAGTGAACGAAGAGGGCTGTGGTACGGACTTCTACCTGTCAAGCATTTATCGAATGCTTACTGTGTGCTTGGCTGCATTCCTTGGCATAGTGTATCTACTGTCCGAGGTAGGTACTGTCGTGTCCAGCTTACAGATGAGAAAAATGAGGCTCAACTGAGTCAAGTAATTGGCTGGAGAGCTAGAGGCAGAGTCTAGCAGCTGTTTACCCCGCCCCATGTGGCCTCATGCATGCTGATATCAAAGAGCTTTGCTGGACACTGGAATGGCTGGCTGGTCGGGGGTCCGACGGGGCCACCCCGTCTCCCACACTGGGTCTGGGGTGGGGAAGAGGAGGAAGCTCTGTACGCAGAAGCCTGATGTTTGGGAGGGAATTTCCCTGGCCCCAGAACTTCCCCAACCCCGTAGGAGGCCTTTAGGAGCACTGGTATGGTCGAGGACAGTCTCCTCCCCTGGGTCACGGGTCTGGGCAGGCCCACAGCAGGGGCGGATAAGATGCATCCCTCAGAGGTCCCTCAGTGTCCAGGGGGCTCAGGCCACAGATAGGCCAAAAGAACCCCGGACAAGACAGGAAAGGGCCGAGTGGTATTGCCTACCCTGCCCTGAGGGCCAGGGGCCTGCAGTGTCCTGCCCATCCCAAGCTGGAAACAGTCCCCGGGGGATGGCATGGCTGTGTCTGGTACAGCAGCTGCTCAAAAGTGCTGGGGGCAAGAGAATTGCAACTGGTAAGATTAAACAGGCGCTTGAGTAAGAAGGGCCAAGTATAGGCAGAGGACACAGTAGGCTTTCACCTAGCATTGTACTTCTCCTCAGGCTGCCTGCTCCAGGCTATGGCCACATTGTCCTGTTGTCCCGGCCTCATATCAGAGGGACCAGCCAGTGCTCCACTCGAAGAAGTAGCTTAGGGCTGCCAGGCTTGGAAGGAGGAGGGAGAGACTCTGCCTGGCCGCCTGGCAGGATGGAGAGCCTCTCCAACATGTGCGTTCTGCCCAACTTCCTGTGTCCCTGGCTTGTGTCTGTCGGCTGTCAGCTGTTCCTCGTTGGGGTCAAGGTCTGGTCCCTAGGCTGTCTACAGACCCATGCTGTCTGAGGCATCCATAGCATAATACTGATCGCCTCCCCAGAGCACCACCGTGTGCAAGACCTGCTCCCAGAGCATGAATGTGACCACCACCCAGAGCGCCCACTGGGTGTGAGACCCGGCCCAGGGCTTTAGAGATACGGCGGCTGTCCGCCCCAGCCTCACCCTGGAGGAATCATCATCGCCCCGTTCCAGAGGACATGGGGGCAGGAGCCTTGCTCAAGCCACACAGCTGGTAGGCTGGAGCTTAGTTTGCACCCCTGGCCTGCGGTAGTGCGGGGGGCTGACCCAGGCAAAGCAGGTTGCCCGTTCCCAAGCTGGCCATGGAAGTGGTCGCCAGATCACCCCTGCTGCGCAGGGAGCTTCAGGGGGCTCACCCTCTAAGGCATGCCCTCATTTGGCCAAACGAAGCGGGACTGATTAAGATAAGGGCCCCTGATGTGCGCCAGGGAGGCATCGTGCGGGCTGTGTGCGGGTTGGGGACATTTATGGTGAGTGCTCGTTCCTGGGCAGGGCCAGGGCACCAGGGGACAAGAGCGCCCAGCCGGGATGAACGCAGCTGTCCTGGAAGCAAACCCAGACCCAGACCTTGGCCAGGAGCAGGTGGAAGGGAGGGTGTTTGCACTTTATTGGGCACCCCTGGCCATGTCCCCTGGGTGCCAGGGACATGGGCTGGAGGCCTCGGAGTAGAGAAGAGGCAAAGCAGCCCAGCTCAAGCCAGGACCGTACAGGTAATGGTGCATCAGGAGACCCCTCCATCCCCCACTCTAAGGAGCCAGAGGGACAGTCCCCGCGCACTCATCGGCTTCTCCCCCACTGCAGATGCTCGCGGTCCCTGGTGTCTCCGAGCCACCACGTGTGAGGGCCGCTGCTCCCAGCTGAGGCCTGGCCCCGAGGAGGATGTCTCAGCTGCCGGCCGGCGCCCGTCTGCACCATGAGTGATGAGCGGCGGCTGCCTGGCAGTGCGGTGGGCTGGCTGGCATGCGGAGGCCTCTCCCTGCTGGCCAATGCCTGGGGCATCCTGAGTGTGGGTGCCAAACAGAAGAAGTGGAAGCCGCTGGAGTTTCTGCTGTGCACGCTCGCGGCCACCCACATGCTCAACGTCGCGGTGCCCATCACCACGTACGCTGTGGTGCAGTTGCGGCGGCAGCGCCCCGACTACGAGTGGAACGAGGGCCTCTGCAAGGTCTTTGTCTCCACCTTCTACACCCTCACCCTGGCCACCTGCTTCTCCGTCACCTCCCTCTCCTACCACCGCATGTGGATGGTCCGCTGGCCGGTCAACTACCGGTGAGCTCTCGGGCGTGTGCACGTGTGCACTTCCGGACCTGGCGTCGATAGAGGGGGGCTTGTGGGCAGTGCATAGAGGCCCGAGGGGCGTCTATATCCACAAACGGCCCCAGAGTGCTGACAACCCCCCCCCCCCCAGCTGTGGTGCCACACCTGTGTTGCGCTGGGGGCAGACAGGGAGGCTCCGGAGGGGCTATTCTGGGCCCCGGCTGGCATGCACGTGTAGCTGTGCCTGGGGGTACATGGTATCCAGTACAGAAATGCTTGGTGGGGGGACGTGTGACAACACACGAGGATCCCCCGTGCAAGGGACAAGGCCCCACTTTGCCGACTGTCACGACTGTGATGTACTGGGGGGGCCGGGGTGGTCGGGGATCCTCTGCGGTCGGGGCTCCGGGAAGACCCGGTGAGTGACACCTCGCTCCTGTCCCTACTCTGTGTCAGGCTGAGCAACGCCAAGAAACAGGCAGTGCATACGGTCATGGGCATCTGGATGGTGTCCTTCATCCTGTCAGCCCTGCCTGCCGTCGGCTGGCACGACACGACTGAGCGCTTCTATACCCACGGCTGCCGCTTCATTGTGGCAGAGATCGGCCTGGGCTTCGGCGTCTGTTTCCTGCTGTTGGTGGGCGGCAGTGTGGCCATGGGTGTGGTCTGCACAGCCATCGCCCTCTTCCAGACACTGGCTGTGCAGGTGGGGCCGCGGGCCGGCCGCCGCGCCTTCACCGTGCCCACCATCGTGGTGGAGGACGCCCAGGGCAAGCGCCGCTCCTCCATTGACGGCTCTGAGCCCGCCAAAACCTCGCTGCAGATCACGGGCCTGGTGGCCACCATCGTCATCATCTACGACTGCCTCATGGGCTTCCCCGTGCTGGTGGGTGAGACTGTCAGCTGGCGGGAGCCTGTCAGGGGGACTTGGGCTCCGGGACAGCCCTGGGGTCAGGCACGCTCCAGGCGTCAGGTGGTTGAATCCTCCCACCCAATCCGTGGCAGGGGGCGGGGGGGGGGGGGGAGGCATTATCATCATCATCATCCCATTTTGCAGATTTGGAAACTGAGGTTCAGAGAGGTAAAATGACCCACCTAAAGTTAA